CACACCCCTCCTCTCTCTCTCTCTCTCTCTCTCGTTGTTGTCCCGGCGAACGTCGATGGTGCTTTTCGCGGGAGGGATTAGCGGCGCGCTGTAATTAGCGACGAGCGACGTCGTTGTTGTCGAGCGAGGAAACGCATGTGTCGGTCTCTCTGACGCCTGCAAATTGTTCTCCCGCCCGGACATCTCGGAGATTTAATTATTTACATTTTATCCGCGCGCGCGCGCGGGATTCTCCGGCAATCGATATTCCGCATACTCGTTATTTTGTCAATGCCATGCAGCGCGGATTAAGCCCAAGGCTACCGCAATCGAAATAAATCCCCAACGATCGGGCACAGCGAAATGTAAGAGTTATGTGGAACGAAGGAGGATTAAAAATCCAATGTGAAAAGTACATCGATTTACGAGACGGATATTGAGGACAGATGGTCATCTATGATTTTCACATCTCGTTTCGTATTATTTGCGATTATTGTTTCAAAGTGATCCAGTCACTTATCTTTTCTTTCGTACGATTGCTTCTTGCGACTCCACACATTGACAGTATTGTTCCTTATATTTCATTTGCCTCTCTCTCTCTCTCTTTTTGTTCTCCCCTCAGCTTTAACTGGCGGAGACGCCACTATTTCCGCGACGCCGGAAATAAGACCGTCAATGAAAGCTGAACTTTGCTTGAAAAGCTTTTACTTTGACATAAAGTATTTATAGATTCTTGTTGAACTCATTCCCTCTGCATAGCGTTCCGCGGAAAAGTGTGAATCGCGCTTCCCGAACCGTCGGTCTCTCGTTCCTGTCTTTCGAATAAATTATACGTTTTGTTTTTGTTCGCCGTTAAACGCGATCCGATAACTTTTTTCTGTATCATAGCTCCGAGCGAGCCCTCGCGACGAATATTTTACAGCGAAAACGTTCCGTTCGGGTCGCGCGATGCGCGCTGAAAACAAGCCGACGCGAGATCTACGCGATGAAAATGTTCAATCAGTGGGAATCAGTCGACGTGTCAACACTTCTGCAAATTCATCACGAGTATCGCGAGATTTGCATATTTGCTTTGGCGTGCGCGCTGCGCTAAATTTTTTTGTTTTTTTCGCTACCCGCCGATCGAGGAGCCGGGAACCGTCGAATTAAAGGCAATCACCAGGGAATCCGGCGATTGACTTGCGAAATATTGTTACATTGTTTGTACGACACGGTCAGATCTGCATGCGCCAGATACGCGTGTTGACGCGAAGCGACAATGTAGACGTCACTTTCGCATTATGCTTTACGGCCGTCGCTGCGGAAATTTTGTCCGCTCCTCCGATTAGAGCGGTAGACATGTCTTGCTGCGCTACAAGCTGTGTGTTGATTGCAATTGTATTTTCTCTCGTTGTCTACACTCCTAACTTTTGCTCGCTAATTTCCTTTGCATGTAACTTCCATTCGTGAGTGTACTCCGTTAATTCTCCTCTATTGTATATTATTGCAAAGAAAATGTATGCTTGTGTCGTCCGGATTAAAAAGCACTGTTAATGTTTTCGCATGTTAATAAAATCTGGGGGGGGGGAGGTTTTTATCTTCCCTTTAACGTAATGTTTAAAGAGCATAATGAAGAAAGATATTATATGCCGCTACGAGATATCACCATCGTACATTTAATTAAAAGGTTCAAAACACATGACTTTCTTCATACATATTTAAATGCGACAGATATTTTTCTCTGCAATATTTACTAATCAGAGGAATAATTTATGCATTGAATTGAGTTTCAATTGATAAAATATTTCATGTTTTGAAACGTATATATAATAATTCTCTCTTCGCGCGTTTTTCATTGCATATTAATCACATTTTATACGCAATACGTAATCGTAATGAAGCAAAAATTTTGCTTTACCGGAGATTTGTAGACATTTCCGCAATCTGTAACGCAGATGCAATATTAACCAGTGATTTTGAATTAATATTCTAAATAATCGTCGACTCTGCTTTAATAATTTTTTAATATTTAAAATTTTTTCATGTTATCCATCCTTAAGTCGCAATCTATCTACGTAAAATTATTTTCAAATACAGTAATTTACAATAAAAATGAAATTATTGATTAAACAGTATGTCTCAATATTTTCAATCTATTTTGCGAAGCATCCTTATAAGCTCGAATACTTCGACAAGTATCACCGACAAATCTAAACTGACGTAATAATGTATCGGGGTTTTTTTTTTTTCGCGTTTGTTAGTTTTTGCAATGACGTTCGCAGAAAATCGTTTACATGCACAGTTCGTCTCCGCCGTGGGCAAACAAACGGCGTATTTTGCGCTCAGTAACGCGGTAAACAAATGCACTCGCTCGGGCAATTATATTATTGCATCGTATTTCCGTCGCCGGCTTGATATAATATCACAAACGACACAGCTAGGATAATCGATGTAGATATGCTAATCGAAGGTTTCGCATTCTTGGCGGAAGTCGACTCACCCCGAGGCGTCCTGTAAACAGTTAGCACGTACACGATGGAGCAAAGTCGGGCGAACTTGTTTCTAAGAGATACCACTAAGACGACCGTTTGTACGCCCTGTAACCGTGTAATCCCTGTCGAGATGCATTCATCCAAATTGCTCTGTGGCCAAGCCTGATCTTCCAGCTTGTCGAGATCGTCAGCAGTAATGTACATATACATCCCTGAAACATCGCGAGAAATGTTATTGAAATCCTCGAGCGGATATGTCGAGAGCGAAAAATCCAGCTTGCAGTCCGCTCGCGACACAATCGCCTTAATCGTTTATACATTTAATTTTATCGACATTTAAAATTGACAATTCTACGGAGTACATCGGGATGTTTCACATTCACAACGTTTATTCATACAAATTATATTCTTCAAAATTTTAATATTTACGCAAATTATATAAATTTACATAATTAAACTTATTTTCTACTTTGTTAAAAATATAATGCAAAAATGATTTGAAATGTTATTTGTTTTTTGTAATATCATTTCCGAAGCTCCAATTTTATTATAATTTTGCTTCGTGCGCGCTGCAAAGCTACGTTTGTATTATTAATGTTTTATTTACCGACGACTTGCGAGTGCGATCAATAAACAACAGACTTCCACGGTCAAATAATTGTAAGCTTCCCGAATGAGGTAAATTCAGCGAGGCAACATTAGCGTGGAACACGAGGGTGTGCCAGGAATAGCGCTTTCAATTAATCTTTTGTAAATTAATGGATAAGGTCACCGAAGCAGCTTAAGTTCGGAGACAATAAAGCTTGCACGCACAAGTGACGCGTGCAACGGAACGTGGCGTTATTGCACGAAGAGCTTGGAGTCATGCACCAAAGATTTGCTCACATCCATTTATTATATTATGAGGCATTTCGTAAGACAGTCTCCGGGATAAATCCGGAAGATGTAATTTAAATTAATTTTAAATACGTTCAAAAGCGGGACGATCCATTTATTATTCCTTCTTCACTAAAACATTAAGTGATATAAATTATGTAAATATAACATCGTCTCTTTGTTCATAATAATTGTCTACAAATTTGTTTAATTTACACGAAACGTTGAATGTCACAGGCTGTTCGGGAAGATCTATAATTGAGAGGCACAGTTCGAGTCAAGTAAAATCTTACAAAAATACGAATTGTACATTAACAAAATTATATTTGAATCTCTTTATGTTAAAATATGCAAAAATTTTTTTTTTTACAGAATAATACTTTAAATCCAACTAAAAATAGCGATATACAATTTTTCCATAAAAGTTCTTAATTAATTCTTCATTCCGCTTGGAATATTATTTGAATTTCGTATTATTTCAATATAAATCGATAGAATGAAGAGAGACTTACAGCCATATTTCTTATTCACCATCTGTTCCTTGAAACCGCATTGGAATAGAAAAAAATATGCCCAAGATTCTCGCGCGCACTCTCGACTCGACAAAATACACTTTCCACGCACGTACGGAGGCATGAATTCAAATTGTCATTAGCTTAGTTTGATGTTCGCGAGTGTTGACGCATCCTCGGCTTTAATATCATCTTGTGAGAAAGGGGCAGGGGAGGAAGCACCGGCAACGGAAACGAGCCAGCGGAGAGGCATTCATTTAGCAGAGTTCGCGAATATAAGTGGGTTTTGATTAGCCTCGAACTTGAGTACCGCAGCAGTTCGGCGTGGAGTGCATTTGAATTCCAAATTTATTGCTAATGCGGTTGTGTGATCTATGATCTACGCAAACACCCGTCGGCCCGCGTATTCGGAGGGGCGGATTATTCTTCGATGATAAAGAACCTCGAGCTCTCTTATGAGAATGTCTTATGAACGGATTTGAAGACAGCTGAGGAAAAAACCGCGGCTGCCGCTCGAATTTCTCCTCCGATCTATCTATTTTTATCACAAAACACGCATTGTATTGAGTTTATCTTCGTAATCCCCGCATTTCAGATACTAATTACTGAAAATGTCCGTAAAATTCGAAAATAATGAAGATTTAACGGAGCAAAGAGTAAAAAAAAAATGGGAATTCACGAAATGCGGAGAGTTAAATCTCTGTTTTATCTTGACGATTTAAACATGCTGATTTTTAGATCGTTTTTTTTTTAACAGCAGCAACGTCGGTGCAATAATTAGACTTCCAAAGCGCGCGTTGTAAATTTTTCATCGCGCCCCCGTAATCGGGGCGGATCGTGATAAACTCGAGGAATGTCGCCGCGTGATGATTCAAACGAGGCTGCCTTTACGATCGCAATGCTAAGAGAGACGTTATATGTGCACACTTTTTACGATCATTTCTTTACGGGTCGAGCATACACGGATGGACGCGCACGTATTTTAACGTATCAGAAATGTTCGGGACGCTTCCAGAATGTTACGCTTGCGGCATGGCGTTCCTGCTTCCGAGTTAGATTTATGTTGCGAGCTGCACTTCTCCGCACACTTTAATTGTACATACGCGAATAAAGACTCGCACACTCTTTACACACTCGCCTACGTCGTGAGATTCTCACAGATGGAAACAGCGCGGACGGAAGTGCGGATGTATTCCGCCGTGTTATTCATCCTCCTCTTTTTTTTTTTATTTTTCTTTTCATTGGAAAAAGTTGTGTTGCATTTCTCAAGCAGTATTCTTCTTGTTAGAAAGTCGAGTAACGTCCCCCTCGTACGTCGAGCATGGACATTAGTTTATGCGATCGTTGTAATTTGTCATGATTTGCATTTATTATAAATTTATGTGCGGCACTCATTCATGAATATTCTCGACACGCGAGACGTGCATTTTTTTTCACGCATCAAGATACCTCTGCCGGTAAGCGTAATAATAATTTTTCATCGCGAAATAATTATTATTGAGGGAAAAAAATTGCGCACAACTTTCTGTTAAAAAAATGAAATTGGAAATGAAAAATCGTGTTTGATTTCTCGCGAATTTTTCGCACTGCGATTTTCGCGATTCGGTCAGTCGCGATCAAAGTAGTCGAACTGTAAACAAAACTCGGAGCTTTCTCCATGAGGATTACGCACGGCGATCGTTCAAAGAGACTGCAAAGTTGCCTGCCAAATCGAAAATGCTTTATCCATAGTCGAATCGACATTCACGAGGAGCAGTCGTCGCGAAATAGTAAAGCGATTTCCTTTATCGCCTTTTATACATTTTTCACTCTAGACTTTTGTTAACACGTTCGCCTAAAAAGCACGCGATAAAAAATCTCGTTTTCAATATTTAATACTTAAAACAACATCTATTCTTCAAAAAGAATATTTACAGTCTTCGCGAAAATATATAGAAGATTTTTGATCCTTGATTTTTTTTTTTGTACTTTAGATTTTTATTAGAATCTGATGTAGATTTGAATGGAACCTTTGTGCGAATCCTCTCCTCGTATTTTTTAAATATTTTCTATTTCTCTTTGTTTTATACGCTGCATTTTTATTTATCTTAATTTAATTTAGATTTGAGTGAAAATCCTCTGTCGTAAAAAATATAAATCTAGTATTACAATCCTTCCTGCAGCTTTTGTGTGAACGACGAATGGTTGAAAGTTACTCTTATTGTAAAGTCCAAAAAAAAAAAATATTGCAGTCATTTCACCTCTTTTCGAAAACAAGTAGAAAACCGACCATTCTCCACTATTGTCCCTTCCTCCCCCTTTTCTTCGTATTCGTCACGAAACAATCGAATACAATTTGCAGCCCTGACGCCAGTTATGCTGTCGCTGTCGGGTCCATTGTTGGGCGCCGTGGTGGGGGCCACAGCGGGGCTGCTCCTGGTGATCTTCGTGATCGTGCTGGCTGTCAGGCTGCGCTATCGACCCCGATCGCAGGAGGACTCTCACGACGACGGCGGCATGGCGAACCTAGCTGCGTCGGGCACCGGCGCCTCGTCCCCGCGTGACAAATCGTCGACCTTGCCCCTCAGCACCGATAGCATCGAGAGCTTCGAGAAGAATCCTGATATAATACCGCACGCGAACGGTAGGCGAGGATCCTGTCACTCCGCTTCGCACGCTCCTCGATTTAGTATATGCTCGAGGGATAAACGTCACGCACGTCGCATCGAGCGATTTGTCGTGCCAGACAAATCGCTCGATTCTCTTCCGGAGATTAGCTCAATTGTTGATGGATTGACTCTCGTTTGTTAGCAAGAACGAAATGCTAACAAACCTATAATACCATGATTCACGACTAGCGCGTGAAACTTTCAAAACGCACATTCTTTACTTATGGAACGGTTATTCCTTATGAAAAATTATCTGTGCGAGAGATCAGTCGATTGAAATATTGCATAAGCGTGCGTGAGTTTATTGGCGGAAGCAGTAGTAATCTCTGTATCTTACGCTATTGTAGAAAATTCGTACGCGGAATTGTGCAAAGGAACGTCGCCGCGATACGTGCTGCAGCAGCAACGTCCAGACACGAATACCTTCTCAGCAGCGAACAACGTAAGTTTGTCAGTTACGTCAGTAATTCAATATAATTTTTGTAATTATATGCTTAAACTAGTTTCATTCAGGATTGCACAGTTCAATAATCGCATGATTGATATTTAGTAATTATTCATCGTAATAATTTTATTTTTTATGTAAGCAATGCGACTTAGAGCTTTGTTCTTGATCGATGAGAGATCTGTTTTAACGCAAATACGCGCCTAACAAATTTCTGCACTAATATTGCAACAGTCCGAGCTAACGTACGCCGAATTAACGCTGAGGGGAAATCGGCGAATACCCCCAAACTGCTACCAGCCTGTGCAAATCTCCAGCCTCCAGCGGCCCCAGCTGCTGCCCATGTCGACTTTGACACGCAGACAGCCGATCCAGGAGCCGACGATTTACGCGCAAGTCGCCAGTCATTCTAAACCGATTTACGTGCCACCACCACACCCGTACATGAATCGTCCTAGCGACGAAACTACGGCGGAGACGCCGTTGATTGGACACGACAATAAGGTAAGCGCTTCGTTAAAGTACTGAAAAGTCTTAATATATCTATCTCTCTCTATGCTTGTCAAGCTTGTTATAATATTTTTCCAAGATAAGAAAAATTTGGAAAGTGAGAAAATTGTTTCAGCTTGAATTCTCTAAATAACTCCGACTTCAATATTTAGATAGTCAAAATTATAATAATTATTAACATTATTTTTGTCGAAAGTGTTGATTCATTAGTTTTAGTTTCATCTTTCAGATTTTATTTTTAGATTTCTTTTCATATTTTTAGGTAAAACGGCAAGGACTGTATTGAAATTACTTTCAATTCATTAAATGAGCGATCATAGCAAAATTGACATGTACAGCAAATTACAGTAAGCTGATAAATTAATTCACAATTAAGATAAACGCGATTTTTATCGCTTGCGCTAACATTACTCGCTAACTGAGAATCAACACGAGCTTTAACTGCAATCCTCATCTTTTCTAGATCACTACGATCAGCCATTCGAGCAGCTCAATCTGGCGCACCGACACGCCGCCTTCCTCGAACGCCCAAGCAACATGATTTCCGCAAGCTGTATCGTAATTCACGACTCCATTTCGCTCCTAAACGTCTCTTAATGTACCCCTCTCGTTCAGAAAGAAAAAAAAAAAGAGTGCACATCGATCCGAAGTGTGTGTTAAGTGAGGAGTTTTTCAAAAGAAGCGCCGCAGCCCTCACCGGTAGAAATTGTTAGACTTCTACGAATGTTAAATAGAGGATTCGTTCGACGATGAAAGTAATTAATGAAATCGCGCGGAGTATATATATATATAAATATATATATATACAAATAGATTATGCGCTTACCGAATGATTTGTGATAGTGGTTGGTTGAAGCCGGAAAGGGTTGAACCGTTTTTCAGCCGTCCGTAAAATTTGAAGCTGGGCGAACGCACTATTTGGATTCTGAAGCGGAGTGATTCATTGTTCTGCCGTCCGATCGAGAATTCGTTGTTGAAAGATTATTGGAGTTCGCAATAATTACGTATAAAAAGTTGAATATTCTTCCGGCGCGAGGACAGTGGATTTCTCTGCACTCTTTAACTCATACAACAATATTTGTTTTTTAAAAATTTTATTATATTTTAATTTGGTACCTAAATATTTGATATTCGAAATTGAAAACTTTCAACAAATGAAGAATCTTTCTATGAATAAAAAATTGATTTAGAATTGATAAAAGGATCAGTAACTGAAGTTTGGCTCGTCCCAAAATGTCCTGTATAATAAAAAAGATAATATAAAATTTGCTTTACAAATGTAAATTTGAGTAACCAGATTTTATAAATTAAAAGTTGCAATACTAATTTTTAGCATTTTTATCATTATTGAGAAAGTCTCGATATAAAACTTTGTTTCAAAGATTCTATGAAAATAAGAAAAATTTGATCGTTGGAAATGCTTAGGCATTGATTTCATAATTCGGTTAAAATCGAAATAGTACTTCGTCCATTTCTGTATGTAAATCTAACAACATCGGTGGATTGTGAATGCAACGATTTAGTGTGATTGGTAGGATAAAGTTACTCGCGCGCGATTCTTGTTTTGATCGCATGATTCGACATTTTCTATCCTCATACGAGTTTTATTCAGTATTATATCGAGCAGTACAACTTGGTTTACGTAAAGCACACTTAGAACACTATTAGAATTCTAATCACAACCTGATCATCATTCCTCCATCATTAGAATATTTTTTTAGTTGAACAATTTATAAATTTTAAAAAGTAACTCTTAAATTTATTTTTTACTTTCGTAAATAGCGAAATGCTATATAAAATAAATCAAAGAATTACTGTATAAGAGAGGCGCCCCGAAATATTTTAATTGTGACGATTTCTAAAGTAATTAATAGATTATCATTAAATATATAAGCGTGTCGAAGATTTCGATATCTTATGTTACGTATCTTGTAAAAAATGTTACGTATGTTGTAAAAAATAGATGGGTTAAAAAAATATTGAAATTATGAGTTTCTATTTATAAGCTTTTACAATAGTTACGTTTATTCCCATTCTTTTAAATTATTCTTTTTATATTATTGCAAAAAAAATAAAAAATAAATATTTTGAAAATTACAATGAACAAAATCCTTTCTATTGCACATATGCTATCAGTTGCAAATGTTAATCTAATAAAACTGTTAAGAATAAAATAGAACTGAAGCGAATTCCTCAAATATTCTAAAATCATTGTCTCATTTCCAGGATATTGAACGCTATAAACAAGAATTGTGCTTTCGATATATTTTACAACCCATCTATTTTGATAAAGTACTGCATATGTTCGAGTAAAAAGCGATGTACGAGCTTTAACGTTGTGGTAACGGAAAGAATGCCTTCTTTACTTCGGTTATATAGTTACCCGCTACTTACGTAGTGCCACTTAGCATAGGTCGTTTTATTCAGAACGAGTTGTAAACGAGTTTATCGGTAGAAGAAAATAGAAAGCCGAGGAGGTAGGACAAAACGAGAAAGCGCGCTTCCGAGGATTACGATCGATCATCGACGTTTACGAATCCTTACGAGCTCGCATTCTCAGAATTGAATACATGAGAAATGATAAATGATGAATGATGATCACGTCCGATGATAATGAACGTATAGAATCCTCGCAAGAGCTTTGCCACGCGCGACCCTTTCAGAAGACTGAATGGGAGAAAGGGCGCAGGACTTGTAATACGCATAGGTGCCATATAACAGAGACGGGCTTCTTTTATTCGATTGATCGCAAATCAATTTCATAGGTTTTATTATTCATTCACTTTCTTTGGGATGTGTGTGACATGTCAAATGAAATTCTACGCCCGTCTCTGATACGAATTTGTAACAATGGGAGTGATGTGAGAGAAAAATTAAGGAAAGAAAATTATTCCTTTATCTTCTTAGTAAGTTTAACAGCAAAATGATTTGCGTCACTCTCATTTTAATCGATTCACAAAATCACTGCGCGAAAGCAACCGTTGTTCGAACGAATTCGATATTGTTGTACAGTGTAATGGCCACGATTCGTTTTGTGGAGAAACGTAACGTGACTAAAAGCCGGTGTCGATTGTAACAAAGAACAACGTTTGCGTTAGTTAACTAATCACTCGTATCGTTTCTTGTGTTATGAACAACATTTAGCAATATTCGTAAACTCATTACGAATTTCATTGATTGATATTATTTACTTCCGTATAAAAAAAAAAGTGCCGAACAACGCAAGTATAAAAAGATGTTGCGAAAGCGTGTGGGAAATCTTCTAAATATCCTTCATAAGTGACTTTCATTTATACCGCGATTTTCGTTTCACTGTCGTACAAATTCGAAACTAACACTAATCTTCAAGTGATTTATACAGTTGTTATATGATTTTTTTATAATAATATGAAAAAACATACGCGCGGGCGCGCGTGCGCGCAAACTCTCTGTTTATATTTAAACTTTAATCATTGTCTTTGAATCACTTCTTCCGAAATAGTATAATATAACGCACTATCGATTAACAAACTCCCCTGTATTCGCTCAATGTCTCAAACTATACGATGATGTAGTTGTTAGAGGAATCAGAGACTTCACATTCGCCAGAATGCAATCCAAAATAAAAGCACAAAAAAGAATTTTTGCTCACCAATTAACAATAAGCCGAAATTTTGTGTCACACTTATTGAAGAACATTATATGAGAGTAACTAAAATATAAAAGTATTTTTTATAACGTTATATATTTACTTATGATTTTTGTACTTTCTCTCTCTCTCTCTTTCTCTCGACATATATGCATTTGCATAACTATATAGTTTTAAATTAAACGTGAGAAGATAATCTATATATACGTATATAAATAGAAATTTTTTAGGATGTGAAAACTAGCATCGAATAAATGGCGATGAAAATAAATGGAAAATAAATAGAATGTCAATGTGTTCTGACGTATGCGAGCTTTCTGATTCGCTTTAAACGATGAAATTATTATCCTTTTGATAAGATCAACGATCAAATATGTTCGAATAGCTCGACGAATCGGAGCTCTATTTGTAATCTAAATTTTAAAATACTTTGTAAGTTAATGATAGAGAGTAAGGGAGATGTGTTCACGATTCGCGCGTACGTGAATAGTGGATATTAAATAATAAATAAAAAGGTAAATAAAGACAGTGGCGGTAACTGTACGCCAAAAAAAATCAGAGATTCCGTATTTTGTCAGATAATTATAATGATTATTGCCAGTGTAACATAAGACTTTGATATGTATTGTTAGTATGCATTGTGGGTATTACAAAGAGGAATGAATTTAAATATAAAGAATAAAACATACAACAATATACGAGCATACGCATATGTACACGTGTGTTTGTGTAAAGAATAACTTAAGATATTATATAAACATAATTTCAAACAACTTTTAATATAGATTTACTTGTGTAAAATATAAGGAGAACTAATTGTGCTCAATAAATTTCAATAAATAACGATTTTGCCTATGCCAATAACTATCATTACTGTAGTTATTTTTGTATAGAGTGCATTATAAAGATATAGATATAGTGATTTCTGCGTGTAATAAAAATATTTGCAACAGAGAAAGCATGCATACTGTACGCTTTCATTTAAAATACCGTTTTAGATACTGTTTTTTTCTTTTTTTTTTAAACAAACCCCAATGTTTCATAAAATCATTCTTTACATTTACAAATCTGTCTTAAAGACGTCTTTTTATAATTTTTTAGGATAATGTTAAATTATATATATAGTATATGTTGATATAATGCTAAAATGGTTTGAATCTTGACTAAAATTTTATCCAGCTGTATCCAAGACTCAAACCAAAATCACAGCTGTTTGTCGGCTGCCATGTTTAGTCTCAGTCCGGCATGACTAGTCTGTGGATGAAAGGTTATGTTTCAACAAATTTATTAAGATTATTATATTTTATAATTAAAAATAATTTATAAATTGTCAAGATTGTAGAGGTGATTATCATGACAACTATACGAATAAGAAAACCGATGAACGTAACACTTAGATTAATACAAGTATGCAAACGTTTTGTGAACACTGAAGCAAAGTGTCAAGACAGACCACAGTGGATAAAACCAGTTGGACATCAAACTGAAATATCTATATATAATCCAATAACAAAATGCAAAGTGCCACTGATTCTGAAAACAGAGAACGTTTTGAAATGGTATATGTGTGGGCCTACAGTCTACGACTCAGCGCATATTGGACATGCAACGTAATGAAAATGATACAAGAACTTATTGCTGTATTATAATTGAAGGATTATTTTGTAATGGAACAATTAATATTTAATTTTGTGCAATTTTGTTTAACTACTATTGCAATTTTCTTATCTATTTTACTTATAATTGATGCATGCAATATGTCAGTTTTTCTTATACGAATAATCACCTTATTTTTATTACTTTACAGCACTTACATAAAATCAGATATCATTCGTCGAATTTTGTCGAATTATTTTAACATAGATGTGTTATTGGTTATGGGTATAACTGATATCGATGACAAAATAATAAAACGTTCCAATGAGAGTAAAATGGATTTCATATCTTTATCAAGACATTTTGAGACTGAATTTTTAGCAGACATGAATAAGTTAAATATTCGTGAACCTTATTTATACTGTAGAGTTACAGATTACGTACCACAGATCATTGAATTTGTGGAAAAGCTTATAGCCAATGGATATGGTTATATTACAAAGAATGGTATGCAATTGTTAACATTGTGGTTTTGTTTCTATGAAAAAATTATCTGGTTTTTATTCCATTTGCGCTTTGTAGGATCCGTTTATTTTGATACAAGCAAGTATAATAATTATGGTAAATTACAAATCCCTTGTCCTGATGTCGCAAAAAGCCAGCACGAGGATAAAAGGTCAGCATTAGACTTTGCTTTGTGGAAAACAGCAAAAAGTAACGAACCATCTTGGAAATGTCCATGGGGCCACGGTAGACCAGGATGGCACATAGAATGCAGTGCAATTGCAAGGTAATTTTAAGTTATTTCCAATTAGTATGTTTCATATGAGAATTCTTTTATGTGTGCTTGGAGTTCTGTGTATTTTTATATTTTTTGTTTTGTACTTTTACATGCTGCTAGAGTGTTACGCAACACACCATTCAAATTATTTTTATAGCTAGTTCATTAAATGATTATCGATACATATACAAACATACACATGTGATACACTGATCTATATAAAAATATGTGCTTTTATCAGCGCAGTCTTCGGGAATTCTGTAGATATGCACAGTGGTGGAATAGATTTGGCTTTTCCACATCATGAAAATGAGGAAGCGCAATCTTGCTGCTATCATAATACCAACCAATGGGTCAATTACTGGCTACACTGTGGACATTTAAATCTGAAAGATATAAAGATGTCCAAGAGTCTGAGGAACACCATAACTATTCAGGAATATCTCGAAAAATATTCGGCAAACCATCTTAGAATGCTTTGCCTGCTTTCTCATTATCGAAACGGTAATATTTGAAACAACTCCAAGTGATTTGATCTATGTGTAATCGATTGAATTTCATTGTAGGCATTGAATTCTCAGAGGAAGTCATGCAAAATGCAGTGGAAATAACCAAGAAACTTGATAACTTTATAAATGACTGTGATAATTACGTTGCTGGCAAATTTAAAGGTGGTGAAATAGATGAAAATCTTTTGTTTACGGTAAGCTTTTGCCTTGTATGAGTTTTTTAAATGTGATTTTAGATCACAAATAAATAATATAATATATATTGCTATATGATTAAAAAAATCAACATTGACATATTCAAGTAATTTTTCAGACTTTGCATGAAACAAGAAGTACAGTTTGCTCAGCGCTGGCGGACGATTTTGATACTTCAAGGGCAATGCATACCATTATAAATCTTGTTGGTGTAGGAAATAAAATGCTTCATCAAAATAATGTAAGTACTGCATAAAAAACACATAACGATTGACATTGTGAACGGTATTTTCAAGATAACATAATTTTATTTCATTATCTTATCTTTAACACATCAATTACATATTAATTATTTATCTAATCATTTTTAATTGCAGGCAACATCTCAAAATCATGGCATAAGCGCCATTGCCGCTGTTTCAAATTATGTTTCCAATGTTCTTACGAAATTTGGTATTGTACGATCTACAATGGCAACGATAGAAAATCGACAAATCAAAGACATTCTTGATAATTTTCTGGACTTCAGGAATGCCGTCAGAATCAGAGCACTTCAGCAAAATCCAAAAGACAAAACTTTATTAAAAGAATGTGATAAAGCACGAAAATGTTTATCCACTTGTGGAATTATAGTGAAGGTGAAAACTTTTATACAATACATATGCTCATATTTAAGACCATGTTTATAAGAAAATTGATTTATATCATTAATTACAGGATCAAGAAGGCATCAGCAGTTGGAGTTGGAAATAGCGTGTAAAATAATTCTCAACGCGTCTTCAATAAAAATGTATAAAAATCATACTTCTGTTATTGCTCAACTATAAATCCTCATTCATCAATCTGTGGATTCTTTAAGTTTCTTTGCACCGTCGTCATTATCATCGACAATCTTTCTTTTCTGCATCTTTTTTTCCGAAAATGTTTTCTTTAAACCTTTCATCTTTCTTGTTTGAATATTATTAATCTTTTGTTCTCCAAGATGTACACGACCGAATGTTGTTCCGAATGTATCTTTAGAAACATTCTTCTTCTTCTTCTCCTGCAATCATAATTATGATGTTAAGTTCAATATCTATATTTCCTACATTAATTTGTGATTTATAAAAAAATTATAATTTATAAGAATACCTTGAGTGCTTTAGGTCTCTTGCAAGCTTGCTTAAATAAATCTTCCGAAGCAAACTTGTTGCGTCTACATATAAAATCGGCACGTGGTCCTATTTCCTCAAGTTCTATCCTAGGTATTCTTGTATTAGATTTCTTGAGAAGTACTCTGAAAATATCACATTAATCAGTATATAACATCAAACTAAATCGTGCATCAAACTTGACAACTCACTCACTTATAACTACGCAGAAGTATTTTATTGTCAACAGCTGTAAAACTTAAAACATGTTCCAGACCCTGCAACCTAATCTTCTTGACCGTTTCTCTTTGGAACATATCGACAAGCAAGTTTTTGATTCTGCCATATTCATGATTCGTTTCAAAGAGTTCACCATTGAAAATCAACAATGGTTTTATTCCCGAACTGATCTTCTCAATTTTGAATTCTTTTAATCCTTTGTAATTATCCACGCCAAACTCCACCATATCTAATAATGTATGCTCATACATTCTTCCCATTATGAAATTGTGTGGACGCTTCTTATTGTGCAAAGCCATCATGAAGAGAGGTGCATTATACTTGGATGCAAATTTTTCAATAGGTGTAACGTCTTCAAATGGTAGTATATCATTTTTCTGTTTCATTATTTGTGCATTAGGTTTCTTCAGATCATACTGGAAAATGCACAGCACATTTATAGTTTAGAAATTTTATTGGTGTTTAAAGAATTATTGTATAACATTAAAAAATAAAAAAGTAACCAATGTCAAAAGTTAGAAATAAAATTAGAAATTGTATATCCTCTCTTAAAAAAGCTTTAGAATCTTATATCATTGGTAAACTTAGAATTATAGAATTCACATATTTTCTTTAATATTCTAGTACTTACCAAATCTTTCATGATGCCAGTAACAATTGGTGATGTATTTTTTCCTTTGAGGCATAAAGCTTCTTTAGCATTTTCTATTAGTTTCGGTTCTTTATTTAATATAGCTTTTTTACCCTTATGGGTTGGTGTTCTACAAAAGAATATTGCTTAAAATTATAATTTACACATGGTGTGCTTCTATTTAAGAAATAATTTACATTGTTTTGTACATTACAAATATACATAAATTTAAAAATGCCAAATAACTTACGCAATCCTGTTTATGGTCGGCATAATGCATAAATTATTACACTAAATTAAAGTCACAAGTTTATAATATTCTTAAGAAAACGATAGCTAACCTATTCCTCAACTTGCGAACATGCTACTAGCGTGCTCAGTGACGACAGATTTGAGACGCAAGTAGCAAGAGAGAGGGAATACGGCACATATGCACAAGCCACGTACATGTGAGCTCCGCGCTTTGGCTACCTTTGGAAAGAATATAATACTAACATATATATATATAGATTTTATATATATATATAACATATTGTACATATATTGTATATAATAAATATATATAAATATATAAGGACATCTCTAAAGACGCCCTAAAAACGTTCTAAATAAGACATCTTTAAGACATCCTAAAAACGTCCTAAAGAAGACGTCCTTTAAGACGTCGTCTTTTAATTTCTTTAATGATTGGCATTCTGAACTGAAAAATTGTTAACAGGAGCACATGATGTTATAGGAGCTTACTCTTGACTAGATCAGTCGGTACACTTACCATCATGAACAGTTGTTATGTTGTTTTAGATAATCAAAAGATGGCAGCACTATTCCGACTGATGGTAAGTGTATCGACTGCACTGCTCCGAGTTAGCTCTTATATCATCATGTGCTCCTGTTAACATTGCGAAAAATTCCGACTAAAATGGAGGCATAAGAAAGAAGACAGAGATAGTACGTCTGCTCTTTTCTAGCGTGCGAAGCTAATGATGCCATATTTGAAACGCAGCAGCAAACAACATGAGGGAGGAAATACCGCACACATACGCAAGTCATGTAATGTGAGCGTATATGTGAGCTCCGCGCTTCGACTAGCTTCGGAAAGAGCATAATATTAACATATATTATATATATAATATAATAATTTATATGTACTATATTATATATATGATATAATATATTATACATATATTATATATATAATATATATGATATATTATACATATATTATATATATAATAAATATAAAGACGTTTAAAGACGTCCTAAAAAAGACATCCTTTTTAAATTTCTAAATTTTGCAACAAAAAACTTTACAAAAATTTTAAAAGAGACGTTTTAATTATTTAAGTATTTTACAAGCATTCTAATACTGTCAAAAGTGACCCAGAAGCGAAAACAAGCATGTAGAAAAATTCAAATTACTCTCTGGATTTACAGTCAGAAACGTTTCATTTTGGCCGGAATTGAAAAATTGTTAATAGGAGCACATGATGATAGAGGAGCTTACTCGGAGCAGTGCAATCGGTACACTTACCATCAATGCATTTGTAATGTTGCTTTAGCTAACCAATAGATAGCGCTGTAAGTGAGTTCCGAGTGAGTTCCTCTATCATCATGTGCTCCTGTTAACAATTTTTCAATTCCGGCTAAAATGAAGCATTTCTAGCCATTCCAGCGGGTAATTTGAATTTTTCTACATGCTTCTAAGCTACTTTTGACAGTGTTAGGATGCTCGTAAAATACTTAAATAATTGAAACGTTTTTTTTTTTTAATTTTTGGAAAGCTTTTGCTATATAAATTCAAAATGCCAATTGTTAAAGAAATTGAAAAACGACATCTTTTTTAGAACATTTTAAGGATATCCTTTTTTAGGACGTTTTAGGCGCACGCTGCGTGCTAGCAGCTACGCTTTTTTGCGCGTACGTGTTAAGTGCGGCAGCAAGATGCCTATTTCGAATACAAGTATTTCCTAAGGGAATTAATTATCGGAATATAATTCAATAAGGATTACTTAGCAATTAAAAGACCAAGAGAATAAGCGGTCAATGGATAATGGAAGAATGAACTAAATTGTATGTAGATTGATTCAATCTGTTTATTTAATGTAAGATGAAATATATATATTTATATATATAAGCATGAATCAAAATGTGTCAGTAAGTTAAATCGGCTACGAGAATTACACATAAAGAGCAACAGGTAAATATAAGAATCTAAATAAAGAAACAGACGTCTTGTAGCACATACATTGATTTATTATACGTAGATTGTTCATAGCTTATTGTTTCTCTATTTTTTTTATAGCAACAGCAAATATATAGTTGGTCAAATTAATTAACAAAGTTCTCTCCAATCTGCCGCCGATGCAATTATTCATGTCGACGCACCGGATATAACATGAACAACTGAGCCTTGTCTGCATCATTGGCAGGTTGTGACACGGAGGCCGGATCAATCATCCGGACATGATGGCCTCCGTTTCTTTTTTTTTTCTTTTTTTTATTTCTTTAAATTTGGTTGGTGGTGATTAATTCTCTTTTTTTTTTGATAATCATTTTTTTTCATAATCGAAGACATCCAAGAGAGGTCTAGTTAGATAATTAACTAAGTTTTCACAGCGCGTACTAAAAGCGTACTAAGAGTCCTATCGTCCTCCTTTGATTACTCTCACGTATCAAAGGTACGCGCTGTACATTTGTTTTGAAACGTTTACACGAAACAACGCAACGTACGTAATTTTCAAAAGGGTCCTTCCCAGAAGGTACCCTTGAACATTAAAAAGTACCTCGCGCAGTTGCAGCACTACTTTCTCTCTTCCTCCCTTCCCCGTCGCATTAAATGCCGTCGCGATTTTAACACTGGCAAATTCGTCTTATATAGTCCCTACTTTTATAATATTATATACAATTGATTTGGCACCGAAGTTGTGTTTGTCTTTCAATCGCACGATGCCAGTGAAGGTCCAACGTGAACGTGTGTACGCCTATGTGTGTTTCAAGCTGATATCATCAGGTAGAGAAGTGTCGTGTGCCCGTACGATGATCGCTCACGATCAATGGTTTAGCACTCGGTGACTCGGTGTCGGCGCACTGAGGATATCGGAATCGTGGAAGCTCGAAAACAAGTGTCGCCTCCGATTCGCGTGGTCCTGTCCTGATCGTCGCCCGTTCACGAACGCTCGATTACGAGCGACGTCGCGTCCCGGTGGTTTTTTTTCGCCCCCCCCCCTCCCCTTTAAGTACGCTCGCGTGTGTACAGATGTGTTTTTTTTTTTCTCTTTGGCATAGTTTAGAAATATACATATTTTATCCGTCCGCTTTTGCGCCGTGTTACAGAATGGAATGTATACTCGGCGGCTCGGCACCGCCAAACTTCATCGTCACGGGAGTCTGTCAGAGCCAGTGTGTGAGAGGTGAGTACATTGCCAATCCGACTCTCATCGACGCTGCCCGCGTGCATTTCACAAGCCGTTTACACGTTTACAACCCTCGCCGCGAAGACGGATCGGCAAAGCGCTTAGCCCGCAGTGCGGTCTTATCGTTACGAAAAATTACATTAATTACCATTCTTACTAATCGTATCCTAGGAAAACTCTGACTGCCAACTGGTTTTCAGCGAATTCCAGACTGCCCAGCAGTCAGAACGTTACATAACAATTATCACAACTTAATATCGCAAATACTAATACAATATTATGTAAATATATATTAATATTTAATCATAAATATTCTATATATATTATTATTAACAACTGACTGGTTTCCGCTTTACATCGTGCGCGATACACGTTTCGTATCGTAATACTGTGTAGATCGGTGAAATACCATACGAAACGTAATATACATTACGACACTTTCCGTTTTTTTTTTTTTCCATTCTTCAACTACCAAGCTTCGGAACATAAATACAAATTAAACATCATCATAAGTAAGCGTGTAACTTCCGTCAATACTGCTTGATGTACGTGTATGTGTGTCCATGTATGTGTGTGTGTGTTTGCGGTAAACGTGTTACTATGTTAAAATCTATTATAATTTTACTAAAAAAATATTGATCGATAAGCTACATACAGTGCTATAATTATTAACATTTAAAAATGAGATCTATTTTTCCTCTTCTATTAATGTAAGAACAAACATTAAGAATCATTGAATTGATAATGGGATTTTATGCGGTATATTATGTGTATTCCGTGTATTTGAAAACCTTATCTACCTGCCCCCTTGGTTTCTCCTCGAGTGTTTTGCGCGTTGTAGGTAAGTACTTAATGGTTAAGTTCGTACAGCGGACGATTTTTCGAGGCCGATTTTATTTTATTTACGTACGCTAATCGATCGAGTTCGTCTGTGTGGCCGCGCGCTCACGTTACCACAACGTGTTTCATCACTTTCACATAATGTTTGTCCACTCAGAAGATGTCTTCGTCCGGATCGCTCGACGGTGCGGCCTGAAGCGACAGCTGCATGCTGGATTCTGTGTTACGCCGCTTCATTTTACCCTTAGTCTTCTTCAGCATCGTGGCCTAGGAAGGGACAGGATCAGGGGAGCGCACAAAGGAGCAATCGATAATAAGTGTCAGTCAACGCCGCTGACAAAATAGAAGAAGAGTAGTAAGAAGTAGAAGTAGAAATTACGAGAACTGAGGATGAACAAACTTATATATACTTACAGAAAAAAGAAGGAAGAGAAAGGAAAGTCCAAGTTTTTTCGTCAAAGCTACTACTATGTCCGATATAAATGCGTCTAAATCCACACATTACGACAAGCTCGAGCTAGCTGCATTGGATGTTGGAGGCATCGACAAGGTATCGGAAGTTTGATCGGTTTTACATGCATCAATAAGGAGGGACCGGATGTCGTTTTCTCATTTCCTTTGTACAGAGGTGAATTCGTTTTTAGACGGCACGTTCGTCACCACCGAGACTCCTCCCGTGCCGCTTCACGCGCGTCGAGGAGTCTAGGCTGAGATATCGCGCGTCTTCAACGAGATCGAACAAACGAGCGGTTGTAAGATGTGGTACATGGAGTTGGATTACTCGTCTGTGCTCTTGCCCCCCTCCCCATTAGAAGGTAGAATCGACGGTTCGGTATTGCGACGCTTGATCTTACTTTTCTTCAACATGGTAGCCTGAAGTGAACAGAGGAACAAGGAAATATTAGTCGAGTGCAATCGGGGCTCAGGGTCGGGCGGCGAGGGGTGGGGGGTGGGGGCGAGGAAGCATGCGCTGATAGGTATCAGCAGTCAGGTTATACGCCTTTACGGAGAAAATACGTAGAGTATTGTAATATGAAACCATATAAAAAAAATTATAGTGCTACAAACTAATACATACGGATGCTCCTGTTAAAAAAGTTTACGTGCCACAAAAAACGGACGCCCCATTATTCTACTTAAACGCGAACAGTAGTACGGGATGCGATCGACCCTCGCGGCGTTTACAATTGCATTTCGGAGTGGTCTAACATCGATATGTCACAGCGCGTCTCGATAAATGGCTCTACGTTCTGTCCGTTATTTTTGTGGAATTATGGGGGGATTTCGTAAGAGCTTGCGTCAAAATATTACCTTGAGCGCTGACTTTAAGACCACAATGTCGCCGGGACTCTGAATCCACGGTTCACCGTCTACTTGTACAGGTAAGTCCGAGTAAGTGTGAATCTTTATGTGTCCGCCCTGTCGATCGAAATTTCATGAATAAGAATCAATCGATACGCCAGCGGAATATTATTTTAACAGTTAGAAAAACAAAAAAAAAAAATCATTTCCGGATTTATTATAAATTGAGAGACATCTCTTTCAATACCACTGGCTTTCGCTTTTATTATAGACACAATAATCATAACTCCGATAAAATCGTTTAAGAGTTAATTCTGTGTTTCCTCCGCCGTTTAAAGAGGAAAAAAAACTCTGTTTTGCTAGTATTAATAGTATTATTATTATTTCAGCACATTGCGAATCAGTCTCGCTTTATTTATATATATTTACACGAAAGATATTAATTTTAATGTATATTTTGGAACCACATAGAAAGTCTTGGATAGATATTCTACTAATATTTTTCCGTTCCTGAATGATAACAGTGAAAACATGAGAATTCTTGCGATCCACCTCAAACGTTAGTATAAGAAACACGAGAAGATTCTCGAGATCCATCCGCGATGTGTCAACTTACCTGTGCTATCCTCATAGCCGTCCGTAGACCCGACTGTATTTGCCCGAGATGTATAACACCTGTGACTCCTACAACTTCTAACATACCGTCCCAATGATTTGGTGTATAAAATTGATCTTCTTTCGTATCCGCGCCCCAAGGATTAGCACCGGAGCCCCAACTAAAGAGGGAGAGAAAAAGCAGCAGTTTTGAAATGAAGCAGAATATCCTCCCTTCTCTTGTAATTAAAGATTTCACAGCTACCTTAAAATATTCAGAATAATTATTCCCTCCACTTGCGGTAACTCGACCACTTTGCCGTCTACTTCTAACCGAATTTCTCTGTGTAAGTCCTTGCACGGTTTACGCTTGACCATTTTACGCAAGCCCATCGTCACGTATACGCCTTTATTTCGCAATCTGCTCTTGAACTTGTTTGGATTTTCCTCCCTCGCGTTGTGAAAGTCCAGACATAGGTCTGCGTCGACGCCGATGCCAAAATAATTATTCATTACATATATTTGCGTATTGTCTTCGCTAGTTGAACCAGCTCCTGCAATATGCAAATCGCGCCGTGTTATACGCCGATGCCTGCATATATTCCATTCATCAGAACTCTTTCATTTGAATTCAACGAAACTGATTTGCAACAGTGCAGAAATCTCATCTCTTACCTGCAGCGTTACAAACCACTTGAGTTTGTTCCTTCTCTTCTGTATGAAAAACTACGGTCCACCTGTCCAATATTATTTCTTCCGCGTCGATAACGTCCCGTAATAAATTCAGCGGATCCTCGTCGCCCGTATATCCTGAACCCCAACATAGTACACGAGCAAGGTCGTTTCCCGTCCCCAAAGGTACAATAGCGCATGCGGGAGAAGAGCACTCGCTGTCCTGACCCACATTATCTAAACATTGTAACACCCAGCCTATTGTTCCATCACCACCGCAAACTAATATCTTGTAATCCTTTATGTGACGAAAAACGTAAAGTCTGCAATATAAAGAAAAACGTAGTTATTTCTATATCAAGTGTTTCGAAGATAACGTAATACTTTTGAGGCCGAAATCCGCTCACCCTGGCAGAGGTCCGCCATTATCTAGATCAAACACTTGATAAGGATTTAACAGTTTACGAAAACTAGAAATTAGTTGGAGCCCTTGACAGCCGCCAGATTTCACATTGACGAACACAAGCAACGGTTGGACGCCCGCTGGTACCATACTCGGCTCGATACTCGGCAGGAGCATTACTGATGAAAGAAAAAGAAATCGAATTAGGTAAATATTGCGCGTGTTAGAATTAAAAAGTTGAACAAATAGAAAAAAAATTGAAAATACCTAAAAGATGTTTGTCTTCGTATTTCGACTCTCGTAACGCATATAACGCTCTGACTGCTTTGTTTGAATCTTCATAAATGATGACCATCGAACCATATTCATAATAAATTGGGCCAATCGATGAGAATCTATTTTCTAAAGAATTAAAAAAATATATATACATCAGACGTAAGCAGATATTCTACGTAGACTGACATTTACTCATCTCCTTCCGGATTCGACTAACCTTTGCCTAAAAATTCCGTTAACATGTTCTCGTAGCTTCTTTCAGAAAGATTTGGCGGTAGATTCCCCACGAATAAAGCCAAGTTAGGTCCATGAGGGTCCTGCTTCAACTGTAGATAGAACCGCATCAGCTCCATTTGCCTGATAGAATCTTTTCCCAGCTGTTTTACAATATCCCACGGTCTTTCGTCCCACGACAAAACTCTCTCCGTCACTGATAAACACAAAATTCTCGTTACACCTCGCGCGCAAGATCGTATTCGAGTAAATTGCAGATAACAAGGTCAAATTCGAAACGTACCACCACGATCCAAAAGAATTTCACTGCATCTATAATCATCGCAATTAAAATTTTGTAAACCAAATTTCTCCAGTGCCTCGTTTATTGAGTCTGCGACGGTTGTTGCTTCGGTGACAGGTACTATACAGAATGACTCTGATATTTGCAATTTGCCTGGATAAACCCGCACCTCGCCGCTGTCTTTATTTCTGAAATCACATGTTACAAATTTTTGGCGCCTAATTCTGACATGGTAGCTTTCGGTGTTGCAGAAGAGAGACAGGTATACTTTTCAATTTGAATGAATAATGCACTAGAAACTCACTTAAATCGTAAGAAGACTGCCGGACGTTTGCCTTCTTTGCGATTTAAATTTAAGATGGGCGTCGGGTCGCACAGCTCAGTTTCATCCGAGGCATACAAGTCGGTTAAGTAAAAATCGGCTGAATTTCCCCCAGAAAAAAAGATTCGTTAAATTAGCAAATTTGTTTCCAGCTGAAGATTCACATTTGTCGTGTTAATTAAAATATGCGTACTAGGATCTTTTGTGATGTGAAATGCACGCAGTGCCGACGTGAGAACCTGCTCCGTTGTAGCCTGCCTGGGCACCGAGATTACCCGAAATATTCGTCGCCTCAAGGAGTTGTTGCCATCATACACCTTGATCATCTCTGTATAAGAAAAATACAAAAAAAAAAGAAAAAAAATAAAAACAGCAGATTCGCGTGTTAAAAGGAGGGTAAATTTCGAAACTGCTAATCGGGAGTTACATTGAAATACCTTCGTCACCTCTTTCTTTTTCTTCTTTCTCTTTAGGAGAACGCGGATCACGGCCATGCGCTGTACCTTGTACCGGTTCTCCATTGTCACGATACCTTGCATCCGTATTAAATTCTTCTGATATGCTCCGCGCTACGAACACAAAGGAAGATCATATTTCGAATGTTAGAGAGCATTAGTAACGTGAAAGTACAATAAAATCTAAATGAAACATAAAGTCTAAATGTAATGCATCTTCTCTCGCTGAGTAGTATGTTCAGAATTAAGAAATTTTCTTTCTTTTTTTTCATTACTCAGATAACATTAATGGTGTCTATTAGAAAGCAGAACTATGAGATATTTTACATTACCATCATAGAGAATTTGATGCAACATGGAACTTGTTATAATTATTAACAATCTTATTTTATAAATAACAAATTTATTTATTCGTGATTAATTACATTGAAAATTACCAACTTTCCAATATTGCAGAGAACAAGTAAAAAAGTTTGTGTCTTGGTATTTGATAAAAATACACTCGCATGTATCCGGTGCTTTAAGAAAAGTAAGGAATTTAAGAACCATTCGTAAAGGCAAAAGGCATCGGTAACGACTCTCTGTTTATCATTCAAGAATAAATCACATCTCTTACCATCGATTATTTACGATGGGTTTGTAGAACACACACATGATAGGAAGAATTAGTCAGTAGTATTCTTGAACTTCATTTCACTGCATAGTAGAGTGATAAGCATCATGGAATCTCATAGCATCCAGTGGGCTGAATGACAGTGCATGCACTGAAGCGAGACATACATACATGCTAAAACGTAAACAGTAACAAAATAACATCCATAAAAAAAGGTTGGTGCATCATGATATTTATGTAAATGCAATGTCGTGTGACAGTTCATTGCACATTCGATTAAATGCAATGTAAACGGTATCCGAGTATATTATGCTTCTGACAAACGTGTGTCATTGTTTCCTGTTAAGTTCACGAGAAATGGAATTATATCGGCCTCGTGTTACATTCATCTAACTGAAATCAATTCATAAGAGATGAGGAATAATCTTACTGCAAGGATTCGCCTGTTAGGAAATACAGTTTTGACCGAACCTTGTGGAATGTAATTATCCCCGTCTATCACACACAATTTAAAAATGTGTACGATTTATTGTCAATTATGTTATGTTCGCTTCGATTACGCCTGGAAAATGTATTACATGTCAGAAAGTATGGCGGAAAGCAAGCTAAATTCGCATCGCTGTTATGCAAAATAAGAAAAAAATGTAAAAATAAATATGATTGTATCTTTTAATATAGCGCTTTATCAGTCACAACTGCGAATGTCGAGTAGTTGCATGTAAAGATAATATCAGTATAACGATCACTACAGCGTATTTTTCAATTTACTCTCAGTCTTGTATGGTAAGTACATCTTAGAATCGAGTACATTTACACAGATGAATGTCTGACGATGATAATATTCTAGATACCTCGAACATAAGGAGGGGAAGCATGACAATTTCCATGGCAGCTACGTGGCAAAACTAGCGAAAGGCGCCTCAAAGCTTCGGCTAGGCGGCCTGCAGCCCCATTTTGTTCACTCTCAGCGAAATCGAATTGCTCTCCGATGTTATCTTCACATAGAAGCAAAGGTAGACCGAATATTTTAACGGTTACCACAACTTCAAATACTATAAGATTTTACTTCTTTTCAGATACGTTTCTTGTAATGCTCTGTTACAAACTTGTACTTACTACGGAATTTAATTAGATTAAACAAAAAGGCAATTTTGCTTTCTGCGATATTCGAGCGTCCGGGCATCCGAGATCTCTAAGTGTCAAAAATTAAGTGTTATACTTTCAGCTCTTTTCGTATTTCATAAGACTCGTAAATATGCCGATCTTCTAATTACAATCCAATTACGAAGCTCTGTAAGATAAGTGCTGTATCTATTAATATACGTAAGATTATGCCTATTAAAAGCACATTGAAAATAGCCACTGATAAGAGCAACCAGCCACAAAAGCCATAGTTTACAAATATATTGTGAACAAAATATGTAATTGAAGTAACAGACATGTGCGTAGCTTTAACGTTACTTAAAAAGGCTTGTATGACTATAATTATTCATTACGCAGCTTGCTTTTCGTTTGTACACGCCACGTCACAATCCTAACACTATGCAAATTTTGAAATTTTCAGCTGTTATCGCGACAATGAACAAATTCTCACGTAATATATTTATAAAGAAATTTAATATAGAATTTTATGATAATTAAACAGTAGTCATATTTTATGTAAGTTTATTTTTAATCCCTGCATCTAGCATATATGGATTGCATGTAGAATATATATGATTTAAGCTTCTAAGAAAAGTTCATATCTGCAAAAATATGTGGAAAGCTGAGAGTGAGAAACTGCAAGTAGCAAATATAATTACGTACATATTCATATAAGATATAAATATTAAATTGAACTTTGGCTAATGATATTTGACAGTAATATATTCAAAGACTCTGAATAAAATTAAAAGTGATACAGTAAAATCAGTAAAGAACGTTCGTGCTCACAATCAATTGTATTTCACATAACAAATAATAAACTCGTAAACATTTCGGTTCACCACTGAGCTCTCTTCGGTACAAATTCCGATAATTAATCAAGTCGAAAATAAAAACTGTAAAAATAACGAGTTGATGTGAATATCAGAAGAAGCTATATAAATTAAAAATTGTAAAAAAACGCGCCTATGATTAATTCCACAACACCATGTGTATATTGGATCTTAGATGTTACTCTTTAAAATCTCGAGACGGAGTGCCTATCGAATTAAAAAGTGGAAACAAGGGAGAGAAAAAAGGAGGAGTAAAATTAGAAAGCAGGTGGGCAGAAAAATTAACAGAGAAGGGTGGAGATTGAGAACCGTGAGAAATTCTGTATCGCTTTCCTTGTTCATTCCGTGCTTCTATCTCTTAATGTGGACTTCTAAAGTCAGTCTTTTTCCGTAAAACTGCTCGTCATCATTTCTACATTATTCCAATCAAAATTATGATTAAAAGCGTTTTTATGATTGAAAATTTATTTTTAAAAAAACACCTCAATCACACATCGGTTATCTCCGATAAGTTTATTATACATTATTTGTTCAATACGATTGATTATAAGCAAGAACAACGTTGCGAGGCTCTTTACCCATTTTACTGTATTGTTTTTAATAATATTTGATATGAGTATAGATTGCCGGTACTCTTCTAATAAATCTAGTTTTTATAATAATAAAAAAAAATAGAAAATAATGAAAGTTTGAGGCGATAATCTTTTAGGATACATATAGGGTCTCTTTCGTTTCATATCGAAGAAAGTCAATGTCGCATGCTCTGAAAAGAAGGAAGAACATGTATATGTTTACAAAACGGACGGTATTTATACACGCGTACGTGAATAAATGCTAACGTAATATCATGCAAAAAATTTATGTTCCAGAAATTGATTATATCCTTAGCAATTGTCTCTACTAATGTGTACGAGAAAAGAAATGTTTTGTATATATTATACATCCTTTCAAACTTTAATACAATGTACAATATCTTCCGCTATCACTCATCGGTGCATATTTGCATACGTATAAAATGTGCTATGCATAGTAAAAAGTAGACATGAGATCCTATACATGTATATGAGTTACATAGAGTAAAAAATAATCAATTGTGTCAATAGGTAATACCAAAATGATGAATGATCGAAATTTGAAAAACTTCATGAAGCGCTGATCAACAGTGAAAATCGCACCACAAGTGACATAACGCGATATTTCGAAAATACTCAATCAGAACGGAACACCTTATAACGAAAGCATTTAATGCAATATTTTTGCCATTATTTGTTATCTGAGTCTGACATATCGATTTTACTTGTAGAGACACATACGTTTATATCTCGTAATCCGAAAGATGATATATTTCACGCGATTACATATACAACAAAACTATAATGCTGTGTATCTATGAGTAACTGCGTGCATCGGTGGTAATTATCAACGCAAACAATGTGCTTTGTAATATATAAGTCATAAGATGCAATTTAATTTAGTGTCGAGTTTCAACGTATCATTATAGTGCTATTAAATCTGTTTTATTGGGGTGAAAAAATCTATTCCGTTTTAGCCTTTTCTCCCCCCCCCCTCCCTCCTCCCCCCCGCTTTAGGAGAGAATCGCTTTAATGCTCAAAGTATATATTTCCAGCGGGACTGATTAATAAGACATTAGAGTGCTTTTGCGGCACGTGATAAAGCGCAAATTTTTCATTCCATTATTCTAATTACCTGTTAACACGCACATCGTAATTACACGGCAGACACTTACGGCAAGAATACTCACGCGCCAGCACTTCTTTACGACGCACTTGTACTCCGATGATGGCTTCCATGGGAACTTCGGTACGCGGAATACTAACTGCATGTGGCGGCAGGTAAATTGGTTCCAAGTTACCAAAGGTGCATTCTTGGGGAATATTCTTGTAACAATACGCGTGCAACTGAGAGACGAAATCAAATTTGTCATTAAGTGTGTTACTCTTCAACGAAGAAGGAGAGCGGGAGCTTTAGTCATGCTAATGTAATATGCTTCTATTTGTATAAACAGCGTATCGCAATCCGACTTTGGAATCAGTATCGCACGTAAATTCTATTTCTAGTTTTTCGTCGAACGAAATGAATAGCCGTAAGGGCAAAGACAAAAGCAATCTGTAATATGAATCCTTTTTTACCGTTATGCCGCACCATTCGCAACGAAACCCAGAAAGGCACTCGGTAGAAAAACAACTCTTCTTGCACAGGGCACATTTCGAGTTGCTTGGAAGATTGCCTTCCCGCCAATGATGAGTGTGTTTCACCGCTGACAGGTCCTTCCCAGGTAAATATGTGGCATTCTCCTTACAGTCTGCCACTGCGAAGTCTTGGCATTCTACGTGTACGAAGTACTCGCATACTGCGCAAAAAAAAAAGCACGATTACTTTTTTCATAAGAACTTCATAAAACATTTGTCAAAATTCTCAATTAATAATACGATTCGTAGTTTTAGCTGGACGTCATCTTACTTTCACAGTGTACGGATAGATTATCATCCAATCGTTTCCGACAGACATTGCAGAATTTTCTTTTACGGTGTACTTGTTCAGACCAACAGTGTGCAACCGGGTTCTGGAACAATAAAGAGAAGAATTAAAAACGAATGTCACTTGCTGTGTGAAATGCGAGTCTTTTTCTCAGATTTTCAAAAAAAAAAATTGCAATAATTATTTGATTATAATTAAATGAAATTACACAATATGATTCATCATATTATGAAAATTCTCTACGGAAAAGATTGCTTTTTTGCTCCTACATAAGTGGAACAAAATCGCTCTATAAGTATAGATGTTATATTTATGCGTAGGCAGTTAATCGTGTCTTGCGGTGGAGATAAATTATCCTACCTTAATCAGGCTTGCCGCGATGCTGGAGCAGGGAGAGACGACGGCCTTGAGACAGCGGTCGTGCACCACGAAGTTACACACTGTAACATTAAAAAAGGGGGAACTTTTGAATGCGAAGAAATCCATACAAAGCGAGCTGCATTATATCGAAAGAGCGTTACTAAGCGATAATATGTACCATAACATAAATCAATACGAGCCACTCATGTCGTAATTTATAACAAGATCTTCTGACCTTTCACGGGGTAAGCAAAAACATCGAGAATCATACGCGGCTTAGCAAGATTTTCAGCGTTATTTAACGCTTCCACCGTGAGTTACAGCTCTGGAAAATATGTAATGACGGCCCCTCGGGCTTCCGCGGAAATCAAAAAAGGTAAAGCCCTTTCCATACTCTTCAAACATTCGTCCGGCAAAAAGTTGAAGATTTTTTTATTAATTCTAGACGTATGGATGTTAAATCTTTTGAAAAAAAAGAAACGCAAATATTTATGCCATAAGAAATTTTCCCTTTAAGCTCCTATTTTGAGTTCGTCAATTTTAATAATGAGTTTGTAATCAATAATCTGAAAAAATATATTCAAAAGATGTTTTTAGCGCACATAAAAGAGATATTTTACTTCTATTGTAATTCAAACACACTACATCCACCATATCGGATTTGTCAATACTTTGCAATTAGCGATTGCAAGAATAAAATGGTTTATCGTGCAACTATCGTCAGAAAAAAAAAAAAAAAAAAAAACATTTGAAAGAGACAAGCCTAGTTGTTTCAAATACAAATATCTAGCGTTAAATTTATTGGCCAATATCGTTCAAAGTTACGAGTTACCGAAGCAATCTTCTCAAAGTACTGCAATTTACATGTTAATTTAACAAGATTAATAATAAATCTCAGTGAAACTTTTTACACGGAATATCGATCTGCTTTAGCTTTTTAATAATCTACTACCACTTTTGTCGATAATAAGAATACTTGTGATAATTAGCATTTTGTGATGTGCGCATCATTATCCATGTTGAGGATACAAAATTGCACGACAGGCGTCGGCAGGCTCTTCGCGAGAACCGTAATGATCGAGTTCTATCGCGCTCTTGCGACGCTAATCAGGCAAGATGTGGGAAATTTGTCGCATCGACGCGCAGGTGCGGCCCGAAATAGTACTATGCATCTGCTTCGTTAAGAAGGCGCCATCAGCCACCATCGACGATCGACCGTCGTTCCACGAGAATGCCGAGTTAACTTCAACACTTCGAATAGCTAGTTTAAAACAAAAACATATCCGATATATTCTCCGCGTAATCCTAAAAGAAAAGGAATCCATTCAGCGATATGCTTATTTGTTCCATTTCGATCACCGCGCTTTCATCAATTAAAAAAAAAAAAAAAAAAAACATAATACGTCGGTTCGAGAAAAGCGCCAATTTAGTGAACATTAAAGTATTCACGACGCTTCAGATTTAGCAGACGAATTTGCATAGCCGCATAACATATGTACGGAAAAATCGATCAATCAGGCGTCTAATATAAAGAGCATAGCAACACGATATGCTTTGCATTAGACACGTGATTCGTCGGTACCTTTGCGCATATATTTATACGGCTATGCAAATCTGGATAGGCCTTTAATGTACATACACACTCTACCGCGAATTTCACCATGTTTATTATCGGCCATCACAAGCCGCTAAGCGCATTCAATTTCTCGACGCTGATACATAATCGCGCGCGATAATGCTAAAGTGTTAGAACAGATGAGATGAGAAGTAATTGTTTAAAAACAATAGTAAGCACGGGTGAAAAATCTAGATGAGCGACGTATCAATTAATAAGCTCCCTCGAGATATCTTTCGCGGGATGAAAACGCGATTTAAAGCAACACGATGAAATTATAATACGAAACTCCTCTACCGAGCACTACCGATTTTCAGTCCACAGGACACTATACGCTCGTCGCATTTTTACAATCAATTTTCATTACTTTAGAAATGCATCCGACAAGAATAGAATACAAAAAAAAAAAAAAAAAAGAAGTACGCTGCGCTTGCCGCACGAGTGCGAAGGAAAGTCCATTGTAAGATGCGCTCTTCGGCCAGCCAATCTAGCTAATACAATCCGGCAAAGAAATTAGAACAGAAATACTTATTCGCATTTTCAACGAGACATCGCTCGTGTATCAAGTGATGTAACATTCGTAGCGAGCAATCGATTAAACTACTAGAGGATCGTGCGAGAAATCTCGAAAAATGATAACATCGTTAGCGGGATTGAGTTCTCGACGTGCACAGCACAGTCTTCGATGTAGATTAATTGATTCGTCACACAGTCACATTCCACAATGGACTTGTTTTTCCTGCGCTTTAAGTTCGGCCAGCTTTCGAGAGCAGCTCATTCTCTGTACTTTCAATCTTCTTGGACGAGACGCACGCGCGAGACAAAAGTGTGGGATAGACTTAATACCGTGCAAAACCGTTCGACATTTTGTAGAAACGTTTACACAATAATTTAAAATAGAGATGGTTTTCTGAATTTATAATCACATACGTTAACCCTTCACTCTGAAATTTGCATGGCATGCTGCATTCTCTGCTTTAATATTTCCCGATTAATCACTGTGATGTTGCTAAGAGTCGCACGTTGAATAAAATCATAAATTCATTTCGTTCTATTATTGATCATCCAAGACGTTGTGGAAAATCCAGCAAGTTGCGTGCAACGTCGACAAGAAAAAATAAATTAATTTAATAAAATTGCTGCATAATTCGTTGGATAAAATCGGTGTTTCAATTGATTAAATAAAAACCACTGCTGTGTTATATTCACTCACTGTGCCAATTAATGGTAAACATAAAGATTCTCAGATTGCAGAATCACGATCGCTGTTATACAGTTAAAAAGACGTTCATATTTCTGTTGACATGAAATATATTATTTATTATTGAAATTAAATGCGACTCCACAATAATAGCTCCGCTATTCGAATATGACAATGATAATTAATTAATGCGCGATTATGAAAGAATATTATCGCACTGATTAAAGAATCAGAGATTTAGAAAAATTAACATAAGCTTCATGTATATTCCATGCTAGACTTTTTACCTTTTTTTTCATAATTTGCTTCTTAAACTGATATAAAAAAAAAACATTCTCTCACCGTTGTCCATTTTTAAAATCGTGTAACTGATTTTAATATTAACATTTATACAATGTTGTTATAAACGATTTGTAACGCGAATTGAAATGTCATGCATATCACGATGTGATAACGAATATGTTAAAGCTTTATTTGTTTGCATATATAAAATTAGAAACTTTTGTTTCAAATAACATATGAATGTATTGCAATCGTGAATAATCATTACGTAAACAAGATAAATGAGACAACATTAGGCTTTTTAATAAGGTGCTGTGCTTGTTTCATAAAAACAAAATGTTGAAAAATAGTTTCTCAAGTTTCCATTATGAAAAAAAATTATTAACAGTCCCAGTTAATATCTGCTCATAAATCGCGCAGCATTTCACTAAATTTCTCACCAAAAAGCGTAAATGTTCAGATATTGATTCGATTGTAACGAAATACCTGAAACCGAGCAATAATTTACAGTTAACATTCGAGAAATGTCAAGCTTTAAATATAAAATGGAAGAAATAAGCCCGAATTAAATCGTCTGGAATGAATTTATGAAAAAACTATTGCGATTTTATCTCGATAGATCGAACTAAAACTTACAATGCTAAGTATAATTTGCAGATATAAAAACAACTTTATTTAAAGCAACCGACAGTAAAGCGATCAATACATTGTAGCAAGGTTTATCCTGAACAATAGCTTTAGAGATATAACGCTTTATCTTCCACCTCTGTGTAGTTAGCACCCCGTTTCTAGAATTTCGATATAATTGATAGATCTGTCGTTCCTCAAAGAACTCCGAAGCCCCCGATACGCTTCAAATGAAATCTTACATTGAATGAAAAAAAAATAATGGTCCAAGGATATGGAATACCAATGTCATATTCTTGTTAAACAAAAGTTAAACAAAACAAAAGTTAGCAATAATCTTTCTCTAATAACAAGTTCTTCAAATTCTCACAAATGCTTCTCTGAACATCTTCTCGAAAATTCTTTCGCTTTCAGAAATCGTATTAATTAAAAAGCATTGTAACCCATGTTGATACTAATTGAAGTGATGGACTTATCAATTTTCATATTACAAAAAACGTGGATTGATATTCCATCCCTTCGGACCATTATTTTCTATATTTGATCACCGGAATTCTTTCTGAAATAGAATTACGGAGCTTAAGATTCCGTTTATAAAAGATTAAACAAAAAATTGTATAATTATATAAAGACATTTAACTTATTGGCTTCCGAATAATTATTGTGCGGCCGCATTACTTCCCAACAGCGATGGACAAATGATTATCGCTTGCATAAATTTTCATTGAGCATTAAGTGTGTGTAAAGCAGCAGTGGTTTGTGCTGAAAATTTTCTATTTTTGGCTCCCTGGAGTGGCTTGTGTGAAGTGTTACGCTTTGTGGGCGGCTTAGAAGCCATCAGTCCCTAATGAACGGTTTTTTTTTTTTTTTTTTTTTTCCCTTCACCTTTCGCATTCTCTCTCAATTTATCAGACGTCCCCTGCAACCCCGCAATTATATCCCCTGCTCGAAGAGGCTCAAAACGAGCGAGATCTAGATCCGGCTGGCGAGCGCGCGCGGACAACCCTGTGCGCGCATGATATCTACAAGGCAGTTCTCTTGATCGAACATTCCGATATGTTCGAAAGAGTGCGAGAGCTCGGGACGGGGCTCGTTCAAGCTCGCGTTACAACGAAGGTCCTTTACGCCTCTTTACCCGTCAGCGAGCTCTCACGCTTGCCCCCACCGTCGAGGCAACCCTCTTTGCCGCCGGCCGCCGAGCACGCCCGCACCGTCCCCCGCTGCTCTGGCAGCCCCTTTCCTCCCGCTTCGGCAACCTTATCCGTGGTCTTTCAGCCATACTACCCCACCCCTCGCGATCAATGCTCGTGAAAAGGTGGGCGCGCGTTCGCGCTCGCGCCCTCTGCGATCTGCGTATGCCGCCACCGCCTCCCTCCCTGGTGTCTCCGTTTTTCTCGACGTATCCCTCCGTCTCTCTCTCTCTCTCTCTCGCTCTCGCTCGCTCTCTTTCTCTTTTGCTCGCTCGCGCTGTTGCACCGATTCGCGGCTGGCGCGTGCTCGCCCGTTTAGCGAAAAGCGCTAAAATGCCCGCCGTCGCTCGGAATGCAGCACCCTCGTTCGACTGAACGCATACCGCTGGCGCACCTGTCATTCATCCGAATTGCCGTTAGCCGATCGCTTTCAATTCTGCCTATCCCGCGCGAAAGATTTCCAAGAATCGGAGCGCGCGGACACTCGGTATCGCGTCGGTTTACCGAGCGCGCTCGGCTATCGATCCGACGACAGGTCTCTCTCGTTGACAGCTTGAAAGTTTTAAAGCCCGCGAGGATTCCAGCTCGCAATAATACATCCCGACTGTCGCCGACTGATTGACCGTAGGAAACCGCCGAATTCCGAACGAGCTCCGACGTGAAATTCCGTTTCTCGTGAAAGCGCATATGGAAAATGAGAGTCTCGGGGTTGCGCAAGTATTTCTGGAGCGTGTTCGTGCGCGCCTCGCTCCTCGCGGAGCTGCGCGCATCCTCCGGCGTGGGCAAGACAGCCCGATCGAGAGATGCGTACTCCCCATGGGGGATGTGTTTAGAAAAGCTACCGACTGCCACCCGATCTTTCTCTCTCCTCCCCCACCTCTCATTGTTCATCTTTAGACTTTTCTTACCTACGACGTGAAGGCGACATGTAATATATATATTGTAATTGCAAATTGTAAAAGGAACAACAAACAAAACGTTACTCTGTATATTATTCCTGGCGCTTGAGAAGACTCGGAGCGCGCATGAAACAAGCGCTTCTTTTATTTATATGCCTCTCTCTCTCTCTCTCTCTATCTATCGATGCTGAGGTCGATTTGATTTCGCGCTAGCCGCTGGTGGTTAGCTTACCTTCGCAGATGTACCCCTGCTGTATGAGGCCCCAGAGCATGTCTGTGCAGCTATGGCAGTACGTCGGCTTGTGAAACGTTTTCTTACTGAAGCTGTGCCCATGGCTGGCTGGAGTCTCGGCCGAGACCGACGCCATATTCCCCGTTCCACCGCGGAACCGTTCACGCCAGATTTTCACCGTGAAGCTACGCAGGGCGCGCCGCGCGACGATGACAACATAATTACACGCCCGACACTACGTGATCTCGGAACCGTACGCGTACATAATTGCGCTGCTGCAGCTGCGGTGGTAGTGGTAGTCGTCGTCGTCGCTGCTGGCCGTACGTCGTCGTCGTCGCCGTCGCCGCTGGCCCGCAGCTACTCGCGTCCTCGCACCTTCTCGTCGTACGGCACGTAAGCACGACGTCGTCGTAGTGCCTAACACGCATTATTCCTCGAGCTGCGCCTCGGGACGACCGACGCGCCGGCAGCCACGATGATCGCGCGCGCCAGATGCGTCGTCGTCGCACGTCAATCCACCGCCGATCGTCGTCGTCACTAATCCTCTCTCGCGGCTGCCGCCGAGCATCACCGTCGTTGTTGCTGCTGCTGCCACTGCTGCTGCCGCTGCTGCCGCTGCTGCTGCCTTCGTCGTCGTCGCCGGGAGTCTCGTCGCTCGTCTCGGTACAACACCGATACGTGCGGTACCTCGTTCGCGCATACGACGTACCGCCGTTGCTGATCCGACCGAATGCCGCCGAGTGGCCGCACTGACATCAGCCCCCTTTTCGTCACCGCCACCGGCCAGTGGCGGATGCGCTCTTCCTAGCAGCCTAAGTGGGGCGTCATACAGGGGCCGTGATGAGCGAGAGAGCGAAAGAGAGCCGCCGAACCGCCCTCTCCTTCGAGCGGAAAGATACGATTAGGTTGGTAAAGGCAATTGTGGGTTTTTTTTTTTATACATATGTGTATGATTGAGAAAGAAAAAGTAATTATTCTCGTCGCGGAAGAAATTATAATTTGAGGCCGGGGGATTGTAATGCATTGAACAGCGGTAATCATCCGTAGTGAATATCTTTGCATATCGAAGTATAGGTATTCGTTGAAAATAAGAATCCCTTGGGGGATGAGAAAAGTTGATTCTAGTGATTTATGGGGAAATTCGCTCGTAGAAAGAAGTTTATTGAACACGTAATTAGAATCCTTGATAAAAAAATCGAGTTTAAAAGCAAATTTAAATAAATTATTTTAATGAATCTATATAAATAAACAAAAAAAAAGTTACTTTATGATTAAAATTGTCCTACTAAAATAACCTGTCGTACGTTTGAAAAATAAAATTTGTTAAGAAATAGATTTTACAGGGACATATATAAATATATATAAGAAAATTAAAGTTTATAAAATATTAATGATTCGATATAAATCATACAAGGTGCATGACGCTTCGTTACTTAGAAATAGATTCATGATTTACCAATTTCTCTTTTTCACGAGTGGATGTTTACTCCACGTGAGAGAATGTGCCGTCTGACAAATCCGCCACGAAATGATACACACAAGTCCGGAAATAAAATCACGGACGGGGACGGAAGCTCTGTTCTCCGGTACTGTTGATCATAGCGAGGGCGACGGAAATGCTGTGCGTATTTTCTCGTCGCTTTTCGACCTCCCTCGTAATGCTCGAGCGTTTTTTTTTCCGCTATTCTAGTTTCCGCCGTCTATTTCCGAACTCTCTTTTTTCCTCCTCTCTCTCTCCCTCTCCTTCTCTCTCTCGCACTCATCTCTCGCTAACGAAAACCCGTATGTTTGCGACGTCTGACGTCACTTCGAGGCAACGGCGATCACGTCGATACGTCGCTTACGCGAGTACAAATGCGAGTTCGTCGTTGCGTCGAATTCAATTCTTCAGACGTACGCGACTTCTCCGTGCTCTTACCGGACGCGTTAAGTCAATTCCGTCTCGGGATTCAATCACACTTCGGATCGTTGATGACGAATGTTTCGCGGAGAGAACGTCACCAACCGCGCGCGCAACCACGCGCGTACACGGGATTGTTATTGTTCGCACCGTTGCGCCACCGCGTTCGAAGAGCGGATCGATCGACAGTTAACGCAATGGTTAAATTAGCGCGAATCAACATACGGCGGATACAGAGGATGGCCCCGACGTCGGACGGGCAGCGCGACGAT